TTTTTTCTATATTTACCTGACTGATTTGAATTTACAGATGTTATGCAATAATTTAGAATCATTTGACCTGTTGTAGGTGAAACGGCACATTTACCCATGATGTCAGTTATACTTTAGGGGGTGATGATCTTCAGTCAAAATAAAATTTGTTTTCAATTACGTTGTTTCTTTACAGTATTCATGTACGATGTGAAACAAACATCTACTAGATTAAAAATGCTTCATGTGAACTAAACTTTTTGTGTCTCAGTGGACATGAAATGAGCTGCCACAGATCTTTACTGACCATTTCCTCCATTCCGATGCTGCTGATTTCTAACTAGTCTTTTCTTTATTTCAAATTATATTTAACTACAGTTTAACATATCTACAGACTTTGGTCTCTTCTGGTGAAACTCTTTACAAGGATTAAAGCTTCTAACTAATTAACTGCTTTTTTTTCTTTAAATCACAGAATTCAAAAGGGTTGATCAGTGTTGTAATTGATTTAAGTTACCAAACTCATTCGCCAAAATCTGCAAAACAATTTGATATAAAGTATGTTTACTAATTCACTATTTCTCTTCATTTACTAGTTCAGTTATCTGCAGGTAAAGAGTTATGTGCAGTTCCTGTCAGCCCACTTTTTTACACTGTAGTGTTTTGTCATAGATGCAAGCAGTTCAGCTTGTTTTATTAGAAAATACCAAAAACACAATGTGACTGTATGCGAGGCTTAAACTTTCTTAAAAGTACGTAGTTATTGGGGGCGGTTGTGTTAATCTTTTTCTGTCTTGTTGAAAAGATTTAAAGACGTCGAGACTCGTGACATGAAATAACCATTCTGTTCAAACATGGAGGTTTTTTTCCACTCTGCGTTTCATCTGTAACAAACGATTTGAAAACAAATAAGCTCCAGACTGTTTTGCGTTTAACACAGCAAGCCTAAATACTTTAAAAAGACACTTCTTTTGGTTCTTGAAATGAAGAAACCTTTCAAATAAATCATGAAGCTACTGTATAAAAAGTTGTGTTCTTTTAAGCTTTTAGGCATGACATTATGATTTTAAAAACATGTATACATTAATATGTAATGATTAGAAATCTATTGTAACATGCAGTTTCTGGATTACAAAAATGATAAAAGCACATTTTTCTAAGCATGAACCCGTTTGTTCAAATCAACTATCTGAAGGAAAACATGACACCTTTATGTTTTTTAAACTAAATGTACTAAATAATCAGTTAATCAAGCTATCAAAACAGCATGTTTAACTTAACAAGATACACTTGTGTTTGACTTAACTGAAATCTCTAAAAGTTGAATGTAAAACAGATTAAGTCTGTATTTCTTAGTCTGGAGGACTGAGGTTTCCTGACGTGTGCTCATATTTCGTATAAAAGTTGAACA